ATTTTGTGCGGCTGGGTCTGGACTAGTATGCTATGACTTTTGGTGTTTATGACTTTTATAGTTTTTTAAATATTTAGATTTTAGTGCAAATTTTGGCCCATTTCTAGGCCCATGAGAAAGATTCAACTTTTGGCCCCATAGAAACAGACTTCATTTGTGGTGTGTTGGCTCCATCTTTTGGTCCCACTGAAACAAATTTCAAACTTAATTTGTGGTGTGTTGGCTCTCTCTAGTGGTATGTCGGGGGTGGTACGGCCTGTCTACCCGTATTTGGATTACCGTTATGACGACAATATCAACGGCGAGAACAGCGTCGCTGCTTTCAGGAACCATTGGAATTTTTAAGGTTGCGCGAACCATTGAATAATTACGGTAACCGCAAGGGTGTATGCTTGGTGGAACACTCCATATCCCACAATTCATAGCACGCCTCTACCGACTCAAACAATGGCGGCCACCACTTCGTTTAATATATTGCTTTTATTACTGTTTCTAGGTCACAAAATAAACTTTTAAGATATTTTCAGGCGAGAATGTAGGCGTGTAAACGTCAAATACCTGCTCGTTTTGTCAAAACACCCCATATTAGCAACTTACGATATTGCTACTAGCGCGGCTAAGTAGCTAGCGCGGCTAGCGTCTCTTCGCTAAAAAGCACCCGGGCTTGGCTTACAGTGAGGCGGCTGACACTCGTTTCACCACCCGATCGCTCGCCAAGAGACTGTTTTTCAGCTGGACTTATTTTTCGTTTATATGGGCCGATAATTCATTTATTCATTTTAGTAACGGTATAAACAGTGAAAGGTGGTTGTCCAGATGCTGGTCGATGTGGGAAAAATAACTGAGTTGTTTGGTGGTGGCTAACGAGGAGCTCCAACAAAGAGCAGCTAGCCCTGACAGAAAGGGCATGCGGGGAAAGAGACATATGAGGCGGTGAGGCGGCCGCCGATCGACCGGTGGTGGCTGACGCGGAGCTCAATCGTGGATAAGGGAAACCGAAGGCAGGAGCGCGAGGTGAACTGAATTTCAGGTAAGAAGTTATGAACTGCACTCTATTCGGGTCAGATATAAACCGAGTTTAGGTGTAGTTTATTTTCGTTTTGCTGACTTTTTACAATAACTCTACTGCGTGCTATCTAGCAGGACGGAGTTTCTATACAGCTGTGTGCGCGCTAAGTTACTGATGTTGAACTTTATGACAGCCTCTCCTGTCATTCTCTTGCTTGTTGGAACTTCAGTCATGAAACTGATCAATGATCGGCTTTTCTCTCTTGTTTGTTTATCGCGCTAAACAACAGCAGCACGTTTAAGGTTGATCAGCTGTTGTTAGAATTCCTTTGATTTTAATTTCTAGTATCAGCTGATGTTTGCTGGAGACACAGCTGAAAGAAAGGGCTGGTCCAAACCAGGAGATGTCCTTACTGAATCATCAGAGCTGAACTGGTGATGGAGAAACAGGTTTACCTTTTAGGTGACATGAATGAGTTGAAGGGAAGTTATGTACTGTTTCTGAGAGAGGAATAACACAATATCCTTTTCTGTGTAGCTGACAGCTGGTAACTGTGCAGGGGCGGATCTAGCAAAGCTTTTGCCAGGGGGCCAGGTAGGGCATTAATAGGGAAAGGGGGGCACAAAGAAATACTTTTCTTTCTTATTCTCATATAAAATATTTACCTTTTATTAAATAGTTATCTGAATCTTACAACCAAAGTTTGTATAATAATACACAAGATTGGCTGTAGGCCATTGTTAATCATTCAGAACACTGTGTAAAAATAAGTGAATGCATAAGTGAATAAGTGAATGCAAATAAGTAAATGCAAAAGTGCATAAATATTTATTTTACGTGTTTGATGTGTGTGGCAGGGCGTGGTCTGCAGTGCC